CCCGGCCACAGGGAGATGCCCACCAGGCCTGCGCCCGTGCTCCCTGGGTGGCACAGCGGGTTCCAGTCCGGGGCAGCCCCGGGCCGCTGCTCTCCTTGGCTGTGCTAGATGCCAACTGCCAACAAATGCACATGGGGGGACGGGTCCCCCCGCCAGGGCTGTCATCAGCCCGCCGTTACCCTCAGGATGGGTCCAAATGTGCCTGTGCTGCAGCATCCCTGCAAGGTGAGGGGCCGGGGCTGGTTTGGTCCCATGTGATCTGGGAACCCCAGTTCCCTGGGCACGGCCAGGGTGTGCAGTGAGGTTCCAGCAGACGAGGTTTCACAGTTACAAGGTTCTCCGTCACTTCCCCGTGGCTCTCCATCACACCCCGTGGCTCTCCATCACTTCCTCATGGCTCTCCATCACTTCTTCCGGCTCTCCATCATGCTCCGTGGCTCCTCATCACTTCCCCTGGCTCTCCACCACTCTCCATCGCGTCCCCTGGCTCTCCATCATTCTGCCTTGCCTCTCCTCACTGTATTTTTCACGTCCTGCTCCCCTTCTCCTTTACCACCCCCCACTCACAAACATGCACAGTCCCACCAGCCCAGGCTCCAGCCACCGCGTGTGCTCCAGCCAGGCCCCAGGAGGGCTTGTGGGGCTCCCAGGCCACCTCCTCGCGCTTTGCTCATGGCCCCGTTTTGGGTGGTGGCTTCTCTTGCTCCAGGCCTGCAGCCACCTCCAGCCCTAACCTGCCCCTGTGCTGGCCATCCACGCTGCAGCGAGGCCCCGTGCCTCCTTGCCCCAGCCCCCAGCACTTCTGTACTCTCCAGACCCGATTCGATTTTGGGGGGCTCATCAGCATTTCCGTGGGTCCACGGCCCATTGCAATGGAAACGTGTAGGAATTGCCTAGGAGCTGCAATAGCGTTGCTGGGCCGAGCTGGAGCAGGGAGCTACAGTCAAGCGGTTACGAAATGCTGAGTTTTAGCCTGTTTTTACCAGGTCGCTCGTTCGTATGTCCCAGGCCCGCAGGAGCTGGGGCTCTGGAAGAGCTCCCGTACGCGCAGCTCTGAGCCGCAGGAGGCAGCATCGGGACAGGGCCTCGCATAAAGCTGGACTCAGAAAAATGCCAAGTTTTTGGTCTGTGGTTCAGTGCAGGTTGTGGTTTTGTGTCCAGCTGGCACTGCTTGGACAACGTGCAAGGAGCCGCGCGATGAAGGCTGCTCGTGAGTGGGTAAAACGAAGGCTTGATGCCTCTGAGATGTACAGAGGGTCAGATCCTGGAGCGAGGGCACCTCTGTGGGCTGGTCCAGCAGAAGTGAGCGCTGAGCATCCTCCGGGCTGAGGCCCCAAGTGAGTTGCTGTGCAGGAAGCGACACTCCTCCCTCTCTGCCGCTGGTGGGGAGACTGCTCCTGACCCACCGAGCTCGCAGGGACTGACTTGTGCCTCCTTTGCAGAAGGGGAGGCTCAAGTGACGTTCCCGTCAGCCTGAGAGACACGGCAGTGCAGGCTGGCTGGGTCTGGGTGTCCCCAAATCCAGAGTGCTTGTGTCCTGCTTTGCACCGGGGTGCAAATCCAGCCTCATTTCTGCAGCGAGCAACAGGCTTTGCCTGACAGATGCGACCCAAGGAGCTGAACAAGCTCTTTAATCACGTACGATTAAGTTCTTCTGCCCACTTGCAGCTGGCTCTAATGCGAGCAGCTGCTTGCCAGCCCCAGCACATTGGTGACCTTAAACACAGGCAGGTAAATCTTTCCGCTGTTAATTTTCTCCTGATTTTTTTTTTTTTAAATCCTGATTTTTCTCCTAATTTTTCAGCCTGAGGGTCAGCGACCGAGGCAGGCGCAGGCAGAGCCGGGCGCCATGGGACAGCTGGGGAAGAATCGCTGCACATCCCACCTGCAGCCGCTCTCCCCATCTGCTCCCGTGGCCAAACAAAGGCGTGCTCCAGCCGGCACCGGCTGCCTGCGAGCCTCTCGCGGGGCCGGGCTGCCGAGCCTGGGGGCTTGCAAGGGGGGGAGAGGAAAATAGTAA